GTGCTGTCATAACTTGTTTCCTAAGCACTGCTTTACCGATTTGAACATCGGCAAAAGCTAGAAATGAATTGGGCCTAAAAATTGGGCCAAGGACCGTAATGGAGAAAACATGAAGCGGTCACCTACAAAGAATAACAAAGGTTATATGAAAGGAAAGAATTAATTGTTTAAATGGTCACTGAATTTAGGTTCATGTTTTTTATTGGTCAATGAAATTTAAAATGTCAAGGTTTGGTCACTACACTTAGACCCATGTCTTCGATTTCTTACTAAGATTTAAAATGTAGAGTTTTGCCACTAAACTTTGAAAAATATTGTATACTACTCGTTGTATTTTGAAAAATGTTGTACATTACTCACAGTAAACTTGATATTTTTCAAAATTCAACAGTTCTGCTAGTGAGTAATGTATGACATATTCCTAAATTCAGTGGTCAAAACTCAACATTTTAAATTTCAGTGAGCAATCTAAGACATGGACTTAAGTTTAGTCAGTAATCGAAAACATTGACCTAAATTCAGTAATTAAAAACTCAATATTTTAAACTTCAATGATCAGTCAAACACATGGATCTAAGTTCAGTAACCATTAAAACAATTAACTTGAAAGGAAAAGGACATAAAAAAGATCTCTACGTTTTGCCCTTGTTTGTGCCATATTATATTTTTAAGAATGCATTTTTGAATAATATATTGATGGAAAATGTGTGGTTAAAAAATAAAGAAAATTTTTAAATTTGCGTGTAATATTATTTTATTGAAAAATATGTGGTTGAAATGATGTCAAATTACTGTTTAAAAATATATTTTTTTGAAAAATTGTGGCTTTTTTTATCTTACCCCTCGTACCCTGGACGGTCACCTCCCCATTCTATCGCCCTTTTTCTAGTCAATCCTCTACATCAATCAATAGTACCATCTCCAATGGTAAAATGTCAAATTTCAAATTGGCTTGCGGGGACTACCTTGGGGTTGGGTAGTAAAATAAAATATCACAATTTCCATAGTTGGAGGAAAATGTAAGCACTAAATAATTCTTTTTATGCAAAATTAAAATCTTAAAGTGCAACTTAATTTGTCACACAAAATAAACCTCAAAATAAGTCTAATTAAATATTTAAAAAAGATAAATGTCTGTGAAGTCAGTTTCCTCGTAACGGTCTCTAAAATCGTGTCTTTTCTTTTTTGTCAAAAAAGATTTTATTTTATTTTATTTTAATTATTTGCTTCAAATAGCATTGTGGAAGTATCATGTAGAGTCGTAGACTGTTGGGGCGGGGGGGCGGGGGGCTAAATAAAGCCAAATTAATTATTTTGTTATCTATGTATTAGACGGAATCAACTACAGAGTTTAATCATGTAGATGAGCGGAAGAGAAATTCCAAAAAACTTAGAAGAATTTGCCTGACAACGATGAGTAAATTTGGAAAAGCTAACTTGAGGGAAATGGACAAACATCATCATAACGAGGAGGGAAATGGAATAAGAATATCTAATACTAATTCATCGATAAGAGAGAAAATATTTTAACTTATGAAAATGAAAAATAATTTCCATAATAATTTTTTTAGAAGCTAATTTTTTAAATTGAAGAGCATGCGTGCAAGTTCAAGGCATTAGACAATTTGTTCACGTGCACATAAATATATTGAATTTTGCTACTTAAAAAAGAACCTTTGACAGTCCCTGTAACAGGGGCACCTCAGTCCTGTCACATGCCCCTATTTGTGTAGCAAGGTTGATATGTATTTGATAGTCAATCCATTGCATCCTTTGCACGTGAGATTCATTACTTTCAATAATAAAAATACCAACTCCGCCCCACATGTCACGTGGGGTTGGCAACTTACTCTTTTCACGAGAGTAACTTGAATTTTGGAATTATAAGAGCCAGATTGGTATACCAAACAAATATAATCAAATAATTTTTAAGAAAAGAGATGTATAACGAAATTGTAAATTAAATAATATTGTTTAAGTTAATGTATCAAGTGCTTATTCATAACTATTTGAACGATAATAACATTTAAACAAAATGCTATGAATTTATTAAGACTTTGAAAACCACAGTTTTGAACCATTTAAATATATCAATCCCTTATATTTTCTATAATAGGCTGAATATATTTCATTTGTTAGCAGAGGACAAAAAAAGAAAAAATGTGGCAAAGGATGCCCAAGACATTTTTCTACATCGAACTATATAATATTTTTAGGTAAATAATGCAATTTTAAAAATATAAATTTTAAAGGAAATGTTACATAGATTGTGAATGTTGAAACAAATAATGATATTACCTAGCTAAACCCGAGGCTTGAACTTGAGACTTTTATTTCTTCTAGTACTGTGCTGAATTATTTCTTCAAAAATTTAAGTTTGATCGAGTTGATAGATAACATGTAAAATTGATGGTAGATTGAGCCCTTGATTGATGCTTAAAGGTAAAGGAAAAAAGTGCCCTCAAAATTGGGAATGCGAATTAAAAATAAATCAACCCATTATGTCTCTAATTAGTAGTGCTTAATGACTTGCATTTGTCTATGAATTAAAGCTTAGAGCAAACAGTGTTCTATTATTTAAGCACAGTCTTCTAGTAGTGGAGTGGGTTTCGGATCGTTGTCATCTTTAATCTCCCATAAACCGAGTTTCTCCGTACATGTCTTGTCTATACTCGATATTTCTTATGTGTTAACTTGATCTCTCAAGATAAATTAATTCAATTTTTATGCACAACCAAATATATTTCTAGGATGTGAAAAACTAAAAAGCAATAAAAATCTAGAATATTGCAAAAGATTGCACTAAGAATACAAGTATATCTCCTATAGGAGTGTTACTTGTTAAATATGCTAATTTATATCAGACCTTATAAAAATAATATATATTATAAATATGTTCTGATGGTGATCAAGCATCAAAATTGAATAAGGAAATAACAAACAATCAACAATCACCAACTTGGCGCCTAAGCGCAAACGCATTCTGATTTGATGATCGACTTCTAGCATGCATAACATTTGATCTTGCAATCTTGTTGAACTTTGAAATTTAATTATCTTTCCTACAATATATCATTTGATGTGTGGAGATCTTTGTACCAACATTTATGCTCCAATATCTTCATAAACTCCACATGTGAACTCCTCGTTTCACTTCTTCGATCTTTCAATATATGATCCATCACTTCACTTCTTCATTATTAGGTCCAACCACCTTATTTCATCTAATTTTTCTCTTTGATGTCATAGCCACCTTTCCCCATCTCCAAGTCCCAATATTCGAATATTTCATCTCTTGGTCTTTTTCACATCCAAAATCACTTCATTTTGCTTCAATCATTCTTAAACCGATGATTTAACCTAGGAAGTCAAATACATCACAAAATGAGTAGAAATTCACTAAATTAATCAATTTTTATGCTAATTTAAAAGCATAATTAAGCGTGTAAAACACAATTATTAATCATCGAATATTATTTCTAAAATAAATCCAAGAGTTTAAAGTGTTATAAATTTGTTCTCTCACTCTCTCTCTCTCTAAACTTTTAATTTGTTCATAAAATCCCACACATTCATTTGTATATAGTATACATTATTTTTCCTAATCCGTCCATTCGTAGTTATACACATGTTACTTTTTTTTTTCTTTTTGAATTGGACGTTTGAACTTCGCTAGACTAATCTTGAGGAGTGACGTCCTTTCACCCGATTCGCCACCCAAATAAATTCGAATGCGGTCACAGCTTATGCACACTTGGACCGAACATTCGGGATATGGTTCTTCTCCTTGTGGAACTCCTTTTATGACGTGTGGACACGACTTTCGAAGGGATAACAAAGCTTACCATAACTTTGCCTCTATAAGACATCTGCCTTCCAACATAAATATTGTCCTCCAGTTGTTGCGAGGATTTGAACTTTCGATGTTTCGTAGACAACCCTCCTACTTTACCATTGCGCCATGTTCGTGAGGGCTCACATGTTATTTTACTTTTACGATACCGTTGTCAGCCCAAAAAAATGTTCATCGGAGCCTGTAAGTCAATCTTTAGAGTATCATATCTTTTATGAGTCAGATACGAAATTTTTGTTTCATCTTTTGTGTTGATTTTTATATATTTTTATTTATTATTATTAATTTATTTTATTATTATTATTATTTTATTTTTTATTTTTTTGAATCATTCAACTGTGCAGAGTTCTTGAATCTCTTTCAAGGGACAGTTACACCGTCTCATTTAATCTAATTGTTTAAATATTAATTTAGAATTTTGAAGTGGTTGTGGCAGCCATTTCAAGAAGAGGCAAAGTTTAGGTTTGAAGCTCTTAACACTAGGAGATAACAAAATTTAGTTTAAAAGGGTAATAGGCAGTGAGTTTATGGGAACAGCACCCACGTTCTCTCAATATCTTACTCCATTTTACTTGATGGTGAATACTCAGTTCCTCTCTCACCCATTTGCTTTCCTCTCAAGTGTTGTGAAATCGACTTACGTAAAAGTTTAAAATAATAAATATTTATTTAAATTCAATTTTAACAAGTCCTCGCTTTCATATTGAATTAAAACCTAACAAGTGCAGAATTTTCATAAACAAGTTACAACGATTCAAACATTTGTAAGTTCAAGTGTTTAACACCATGTCAAATAAGCGCATTTATTTGTTTACAGTAAGTCTTGTTTGTGCTTCATTTAAAAAAAAAAAAGTATTTTTCTTTCTTATTTTCAACCGCATATTTTTCAATAAAATAATATTACACGTAAATCTAAAATTTTTCTTTATTTTTAAATCATACATTTTCCAAAAAAAAAAATATTATTTTTTACTATATTTTCCCCCAAAATCTATTTATAATGGAGCCCAAATAGGCTCTCTTTCACATAGACAAGCAACCACACACCAAATAACAAGTATCCTCTTAACAAAAATGTTGTGGATGCACCCAAGATATAAATATATTCATTCCTCTCTATCTCTCTCTCTCTCACACACACATGCAGCCACACACCATATGACAAGTGACTCAATTGACTAAATGTTGTGTGTACCCAAGGAATAAATATATTTCCACACCTCTCTTGTGACACTCCATAAATGCCCTAATTCCTCTCTTTCTCGAGATATGGTCAACTAGGATAGAAATAAAGCATTCGACTAAACTATATTGCGGTCTTCATTTCATAACCATCGACCATTTCGTGAAGACAATCATGGTAAGTTTATACCATCAAATCTTAGTTTTTTTTCTTCATTTTATGATCTGAATTGGGCTTTATTAATATGCTGTGATCAGGGAAATCAAAAGCCTGCATGGTTGGAAGCTCTCTATGTGCAGAATTTTTTTGTGCCTTGCGAAATTCATGAAACTGCCAAGAAAAATGAGAAAAATATTTGCTGTTTGGATTGTTGCACAAGTATTTGCCCTCACTGTGTTCTTTCTCATCGCTTCCATAGACTTCTGCAAATTCGACGTTACGTGTATCACGAAGTCGTTCGATTAGAAGATCTTGAGAGGCTTATTGACTGCTCGAATATTCAGGTTATACAGTCGTTTCTGCTAGCACAAATTAACTTTTGGCTGCGTGTGCTTCAATTGATAAATAATTGATAATTCTTGTAACAGGCCTACACTATAAACGCTGCAAAAGTGGTGTTCATTAAAAAAAGACCTCAAAACAGGCAGTTTAAAGGGTCTGGAAATTATTGCACTTCCTGTGATAGAAGTCTCCAAGAACCCTATATCCATTGCTCTTTAGGCTGCAAGGTAACTAAAACTTCTTTGTTTTTTTCTCTTTCAAACCAAATATATGGCATTTCATCTAAATTTGATAGGTCTGCAGAATTTTATTAGCTAATTACGAGAGGGTGGATCAAACATAGTCCTTGGTATTAAGTCTATTGCTACTCATTTATGAAGACTGTGTACATGTCAATTAGTTTTTTTATGAAAGTATGAATCCTGCTTGCCTAAAATTGTGAAGACAAATGAATAACTTTATCCCGTCTCAAAAAGTTCAATTTTTGAATGAAATTGTGGAGCAAATAAACCTAGAACGATTCAAATTGTCCAAAGCCCTAAAGCAGCCAAAATTTTGTTCATTATATTCTACCATTAAATTTTCCAATATTGCGTACCACACTTGCACTAAAATTATACAATCCAGACAGCATGCATAACTCTACTAGTGATATATTTGCATTTCTTGACAGGTTGATTTTGTTCTTAAACACTACGAGGGCCTGTCTCCCTTCCTAAGAGTCTGCAGAACTTTGCAACTTAGTCCAGATTTCTTCATCCCCCAAGATATAGGAGATGATGAAATGACAAACGAAACCCAACATTCTACGGTTGTAGACTGCACTATCGATGATCATAATCAGACTTCTTCATCAGACGGCTCAGAGAACACCAGCTTCATTTGCACTGATTATGTCAAAAAGAAGAGAAGCACTGGATTATATGTCGGTGGAAGATTAGTCAATAAGATGATTACAGAAGAGGACATGGCTGCAACTATGATCAGTAAAAGAAAAGGAATTCCTCATAGATCACCTCTGTGTTAGGGCAAAATAATTAACAAAGTTTTTTACGAAAAATTTGAATTTCTTTAGACATTTTTAGTCAATTATTAATCACTAGGTCGGGTTGTAGAAAAGGAATTCCTCATAGATCACCTCTGTGTTTCCCAATTCCCAAGTTCACAGTTTTGTACAATTATCTGCCCTTTTTATTTTTTATTTATACTTTTTACTATTATAAATGGAGTGACTATATCAAAGAAGTATTATATATAATTTCTGGTCCAGAGTTCAATCCCAGAAAATAAAGAACGAAGAAAACACTTAAAAAAACGTCTCTTGGATACCCTATTTTATTATTTATATTGGAATCTTGAATTTTTTAATAGTTAAAAATCAATCTTGTCATGAAGAGAAATTTAAGTCCATGGAATTCTTTGAAACTAGTTTTGAAATTTGATCGCTTATTTGAGTTCAGACGGGTTCATATGATCGCTTAAACTATTTGAGCTTTTATACTGTATATATTTAGTCTTGAGTTTTCATCTTAAAAAGCTAAATTTATTTTAAAAAATACAGAGCCTGGACTCTTATATTAATTGGAAACAATGCAAGATTTTAATGTAAAAATAATAGATTATTATGATATGATCAAAGGGGATTTCTTCCTGGTTTTCATCATCACTGTCGATCGTGAAATTGGGGGAAATTTCTCTTTGGTCGCACTGAAGAATGGAGAGGTGACGGGGAGGTTGTGTATCAAATTTTAGATTTCCTTTTTCTTTTCTTTATTCCTAATATATATATACTGAATGATCTCCTAAACATCGATACTTAATTTATATTAAGCACTGGTGAAATAACACACTATTTAATTGGTGAATAAGTTAATGGTAGGTTCCATGTATTTAATGATTCACCAATTAAATGATGTGTCATGTCACCGGTGCTTAATATAAGCTAAGCACCGATGTTTAGGAGATCATTCCTATATATCGGAAATGATCTCCTAAGCATCGGTGCTTAATTTATGTTAAGTACTGATAACATGACACGTTATTTAATTGGTGAATAAGTTAATGGTAGGTCCTATGTATTTAATGATTCACCAATTAAATGATGTGTCATGTCACCGGTGCTTAATATAAACTAAGCACCGGTGTTTAGGTGATCATTCCTATATATCGAAAATAATATCCTAAGTATCGGTGCTCAATTTATATTAAATATCAGTGACATGACACGCTGTTTAATTGGTGAATAAGTTGATGTTATGTTTCATGTATTTAATGATTCACCAATTAAATGATGTGTCATGTCACCAATGCTTAATATAAGCTAAGCACCGGTGTCTAGAAAATCATTCTTGTATATCAAAAATGATCTCCTAAGTATCGGTGCTTAATTTATGTTAAATATCGGTGACATGACACGCTATTTATTTGGGGAATAAGTTAATGGTACGTCCCATGTATTTAATGATTCACTAAATAAATGATGTGTCATGTCACCGTTACTTAACATAAGCTAAGCACCTGTGTTTAGGAGATCATTCTTACATATCGGAAATGATCTCCTAAGTATCGTTGTTTAATTTATGTTAAGCACTGGTGATATGACACGCTATTTAATTGGTGAATAAGTTAATGATAGGTCCCATGCATTTAATGATTCACCAATTAAATAATATGCTATGTCACCGATACTTAACATAAGCTAAGCAAGGGGATTTCTTGAACGTTGTGACTATATATATATATATAATTTTTATTTTTTTTAAATTTGACCTTTCAACGGTCAAATTGACAATTTCTATTATAAAAGGACCAAACATAGAAGATTGAATGGCTTGACACCCCCATATGCTAGGAGTCAAAGTTTCAGACACATAGTCACAACGTTCAAGAGTTTGGGAACCCAGTTGCTACTTACACATATTTTTGTGTACGTCTATTATTAAACACTATTGCATAAGACAATGCCTGTCCAAGTATGAAATATTTTACACGGTTTTGCTATAGTGACAGGATCCAAAAAATAGGGGAACACGTGGTGCAATATCATTGAACAATTAAAAAACTCATATAGTTGTTTCCAGCACCTGCCAAAGCCCTTGTTTTTAAACCCAGTTTGAGTATCATTATTGATTTTACTCAGTAAAAAAATGTAATTTGAATGTTTGACCAGTCAAATTCAATAAGTTGATATATAACCATATTCTAAGAAAAGGGGATTGAATTTTGCAAAAGTAAAAAAGATAGGTTAAATTTGCACTACTGAAATTTGAAAATACGAATTGCTATAAAATGTAGTGGTCGCAAATACTGTAACAAAAGATTTTGTCCCTTGTTATATTTTTCATCACAATTTCTATCACTAACTTATTTTAGAAAATTAACAAATAATTTTAGTAGAAGTAAAATTCTATTGAGAAACTACTATTGTAATCAAATTGAGATCTAAACAATTAAAATTTTAAAATTTTCAATTATAAAATAATTATTAATCAAATATCTCTTGCATTAATTACTCCTCTTCGTTCCTCGTGTGAAATGTCGAATTGAAGTTATTCAAACTTTGATATCTGTACTTTTGAGTATGTGATATTACTATTTTTGCATCGAACAATGTTATTTAGCCATTTTGGGATTATAACCCCAGTTAAGATGGTGTTAATGTGACATTAAATTATAGGTGAAATTTATCATTTAATGTCACATACCTAAATTGGTGTTGCAATCTTAGTGGAACTACATAACATTACTCTTTTGTATTTCATACCGCATTAACTTTTTAGAGGAAATACATGAAATGTGTGCATAATAATGAGTAATAATTTTGAATGTATAATTGAATTAAATTTTAAGAACAATAAAAATAGCTTTGTATTTCTAACAAACATTTTCCATACCAAGATTTCATAATACAACAGAATACTATCTAGAATTTTTTATACAGCGTACGTTACAAAATATTGAGCTTTAGTATTTGATTTTATTTATTATTATTATTTTTTATTTATATCTAAGTTGGGACATATTCACATACATATACTCATAATCAATACATGAGATGAATAACATTATTGTTTTAATCAAAATATATTTTAATTTTATTGGACAATAAAACAATTAACTTCATTGTCACATGGACTGATGCTTAGCATCAACAGTACACATATCATTATATACATATATGAAATTTGTTTCCCGTAAAAAATTATATCTTCAATATGTTCATTCGCTCATATGGAATGTCTTTAAAATATCTCCTAAACAATTAAGGCAAAGTTGATGAGATTCTGAGTTTCAAAATATTGGTTATGTGCCTCATTTGTATATTTTAGCCTTAAGAGTATTATTTATGAAAATATTTTTTTTAATCTTTTAATGAAGTAACAATGTGCCCATAACCACGAGCCTACATCTAAAAAATTTCGGCCATAACAGTAATTTTATAGTCAATTCTAAAGGTTTACAATTAAAATATCAAGAATACAAAATCATTGATCACTAACAATAACTCAATCCCATGGAATTATTTCCAATCAATATTAAAGTACAACCAACATCAAGAGCACAGGTCTTGGCACCTAAAGTTATCTTTATTTAACAAGACGGATTAATACCCAAAAACAACAAAAGATCAAATGTAGAAAAAATAAGTTTTGGTGTACATAAAATATGTACATAAAGGTGTCCACACAACCGTGGACCCCATTCCTTGTGAGGGGTGTGGACACACTTATGTACCTAAATTATGTACAACAAGTACAACCAATGAAGAAAATGCTCCCCCCCCCCCCCCCCNCCCCCCCCCCCCCTCTTATGGGAACAAAACTATTGAGTTGTTAGATTACATACAAATGGGCTCTTGGGCTTGAGGATTCCATATTTAAAGTTGGCTTTTAATGGACTTCGATTCCCCTTTTATGGAGCTATGGTCTGGGCTCTTAAGGCCTTTCCTTGTGGGCCTGTTAATCCCTTGTTTTGTTTCCTTGGGAGGTTCGATTTGGCCCCCTTTTATGTTCCTTGTTCAGTTGTTCATGAATAAATTCAAGATCATTGAGTTAATATCACGTAAGAAAACTATCGAGAGTCAATTACCGTGTGGAAAATAAATTGTATGTCGGCAAACTACAAGTTATGTAAGAAAGACAAACCGTATGGCTAGTGTTATTAAGTTGTTTGCCACGAAAGTAGGGCTGGACAAAAATCAATCTGAACCTACCAAATCGAACGATCCAACCCAACCCAAACATTTGGGTTGATTTTTTAGTTCAATTGGATTGGGTTCGGGTTAGGAAATCAAATTTTTAAGTTGGGTTGGACTGAGTTTCGAATTATCCATTAAAATCCAATCAAATCCAACCTAACCACAACACTTGCCCATAGCTCTTGTTGCCCGCCAACCGGGCAGAGCACTTGAAGACAAGGGGGACACTTAAAAAAAATTAGTACTTAAAAACCAAAAACCAAAAATCTAATAATCAAAATTTTCATCTGCCTCTATTCTCTTCTGCCTCTCATTGCTGCTCATGTCTCGATCTCTCGACTCGATTTTTTGATGTAATTTTCGACTGAACACTTGGATTGAAGGAGGAGATTCTCAATTACAAGGTAGAGTTTGCTGAATTTATAATTTAAAGAATTGCTATTTAATTATCCAACTTAAAGAAGTTGTATACTGTGTATGCATATAGTATTTATTTATGTTGAGCAAACCCACCTACAAGTCAACAAAACAATTAATTAGTTTAGGATTTGCAAAGGATTAAAATCAAGAACCAAAAGCTGAAAAATTGAAGAACGATTTTCCCCTTCTAGATTAGGTTCAGAAATTTGATCCACATCACAAAGGTATCTCTAATTTGAAGGCCATAATTAGTCACAAAGACTGATTCACAAAGAAAGGCAGAGGAGGTTTTAATTTTGCACAAAGCAAAGAGTTTTTTCTCGTTCTTGGGTGGTGGTCAAAAGAAGAGAAGAGTCGTTAATTTATAGGCTTAAAAAAAAAAGGGTTTTCCACAAAATCTTACAAGATTAGATTAAATCAAAATTGCAAGATTATATCAAAACTGAAAGATAGAGCTCAACCAAAAAAAGGGATAAAATGATTGAAAAAAGATAACGATAATATTTATTTATCTTCCATGTCATTTTCAAATTACCTCCAAATTGGGTATTGAGCATCTAGCTTAATGGGCTGATCACCTCTAA